GGAAGTGCTTGCACAGTGCTACCGTCCTATGGGGAAGTGAGACAAAAACCTTCTCACTCCACTGCAGCCCTGCGGCAAGGCTGCGCCTGCTCTGAGCACCAGTCTGCTTCTTACACAGGGGGCATTGGCTCCTGCTCCCCTCACAGCTCCTCATGCGGGAGACGCACCCTCAGCACTGAAATACCCTGTGAGCTCACGTCTGGTCACTGCTCACGGGACTCTTGGTTTCCGATAGTCGTCTTGTCACTCAAGAGCTGAGGCAGCAGTATTCCGCGGCAGGGTCCCCAGGAAACACTGTCCGTTCTCCTGAAGAGCGAAGTCCGCACCCCATGTAAAAGGTGGGACCAGGAAGGGCTTGTCCACCACGCCTTCCGGGCCTCTGCGAAACGTGCGAGGGAGCCCCACAGAGCACGGACACATCACTGCCCAGTAGATGGCAGCAGAGCACAGCTACTGCAGGTCTATGGCCCTGACAGAGCTGGGGTGGATTGGAAGGGAGGCTCAGGGAAGCCCCTGATAACATGCGGCCTAAAATAGCCCCTGGTGCAGGGCACCTAGGCAACAAGGAGAGTGAGCCCCTGCCAGCCCCTTCCTGCTCCCTTCGTCCCACCACCCCTCCTGGTTCTGCATCAACCTTCCTCCAGACGGGTGCCATGGTTCCAGCGCCGTTGCATGGGGGGCACATTTAGCTCTCAAAGACACCCAGAATCCTTTGCACTGACCGCAGCATGGCCAATGCAGTTCTAAGGACTGAGAGGGGTAGCCGGGAACAGTATTTACCTGCTGCTCTTGTCTGAGCAGAAACAGCCTCTCCCCTTTGGTGGGAGATGGGGGTGGGCAGAGACTCCACAGGTGGGGAAGAGCAGAAAACACAACTGCTAAGGCTGGGATACACTGAAGAATACTGAGAATCCTGTAGCACTAATATAGCACTTATCATCCACACATCTGTGACATGCCCAGGGTACAGTCCAGACTACTGAGTAGCTGTGTCACCCCTGCCCTCAACCTGAGGTGCCCTGTACAATGCCTTGCTGTTGTAGCCTCCAGCCTGGATTGCCCACAAACAGCCTCCGGCATGTAGGTCACTCCCAGTTGTGTCTCTGTGCGTGCTGCAGCCAGCCAGCCACACCTTGGCTCTTCCCAGCCTGAATTATACTGCAGGGTGACCCCAACACACTCCCAGTCCCTGATTTCCCCCCAGGAATGTATGTCCTGCACTGCCCAGCCCTCTCCTGGACAATACAAGCTAATATAAAGTCCGTCATTTTATCTGATGATATGTATACATCTTATTACCTTCACTGGAGTTTCCCAAACACTTCAATTCAAACACACTAGAATAAATACAACAATAAATACAACAGAATAAATACAAACACACTAGAATAAATACAACAAATAGCCAATCCGAGTCGTTCCAAGTTTATTAACTACAAAGAGAGAGATTTGAAGGGAGTATAAGTAATGAGGCACAAAAATGAGAAATGGTTACAAGGAAAATAAAGATGAAAGACAGTTAGTGCCTAACTCAATAACTATGTTAAACAGAAAACAAAGTTTTCTCATCTCAGGCTCTCAACAGACTCTTAGTGGCCACACTTCTCAGGGCAGGACCCTGTCTCCAGTTGAATGGCTGCTCCCTGTGTTCCTTCTGGGGCACTGAATCAATGGGCAGAGAGAGAGAGAGAGAGGAGAAGGGGGAGCTTTTGGGTGTCTCCCCTTTCTTTGTATAGTCCTCTTCCCCCTTTGAGAAGCATCTCCAGCTGGGAGCATGGCAACAGGCAGACTGTGTGGACAGGAACTCCATGCTGTTTCTTTGCTAAGATGTAGATTTTTCACCCATGCCCCTTTTCCTACCAATGAAGAGCCACTGAGCAGGTAATGGCCCATTGGTCTTGTTTACCCCTGGCTAAGGTGTGAGCTTGCCCTTACATACAGTGGAATCTTCTAACTTTACATACAATGGTGACACACATATTTTACCAGGACAATAATGAGGTTATTATTATGAGGTTTTAAGAGATACCTCCCAAGAAATACTTTGTAGAAAGATTAATCCATGTGTGTGTGTGTGCACGACAATAGGTTTTGCAGGTCCAAATATTAACCCTTACCTTCATGCCTTGTTTTTGAGAAC